TCCTCATGCTCCAAACATACTTCAAAGTAGACATGGTAAAAGTTAAGGAATCGTCCTGTTTAGCATTACACATGTAAAATCTACGGTCAAATTAATATGATAAAATAAAATTAATGCTCCTAAGAGTATTGTACCATTAATTCCAAATATTTTTCCATAGAAAAAAGTAGATTTTTCATATTTCTCCTGGAGTTACTTGTTTTTTCTTTTCTTTTTTTTTGTCATATAGCAATATTTTAAGAATGTTATGAATTGAAACTTGCTCTATTGAAGGAAAATGTTTTTGGCTCTGTGAAAGTTTGGCTAGCGATAGCTAGTCTAGTCTTAGAGTAATGGCTCAATGAAAAGCTAAACTATCCTGCTTCATTTGTTAGAGTAAAAACAGAAAAAAAAAGAGTAATTGGCTTTTAAATTGTGCCAGAATAATCTGCAACTCTGTTCCATCTCTTAAAAAATCTTTGTTCCAGTTCAGAGAAGACTTATAACAGTACCAGTATTGGCTACAAGTCCACATTTGGGGATTCTCTCCTCAAGTGAGCACAAACACATAGTCCTGCCATCTTGCCTCAATTAATTTAGTCTAATTCTACCACTATATTTGATTAAAAAAAAAATAAAACATAATGAAAAATATATGTATGGTAAAATGACAAAATTTGATGTTCGTTGTTCCCATCTCTGTATGTGATATGCTTAAAAGTGACAATGTATAAATACAAATTTGTAATTTTATAAGCTGCAGCAGGTATGCTTTTTTTTGAGAAAAGGTCTTGAAAAGCAAAAAACATATTCCTTCAAATATCCCTTGATATCCATCACAATGGTGTTTAAGGTCCCTCTATAGTAGTAGAGGTTTCCCTATGCTGATCTGTTTCTTGCTTCTGTTCTGTATCTAGGCAAGGGAGTGACAATGCGTGCAATGACTTATGCTGAGGATGTTTTCTCCTTTAAGAGAAAAGAAATAACTCCACCCACTAGTTGAGATAACTTGTTTTCCACAGTTTGCAGGCAACAAAATGGTAATTGTAGGCTGTGGTAGTTGGGGGGGGGTTATTTGTCCCAAATTTCTTAATATCCACAAGTGAAGCCTTCATTTGGCATTGTAATGAAAAATGTGGTATGGATGATTTGTATCATCTAACATGTAATACATAGATTTTGTGTAAATTTAGAACAAGACTAGAATAAGGTAGGCTTTTAGATACCTAAAGACATTTATAATTGGAAACTAGGCTTCTAATAATATGGACATATGAAAAATTAGCACCAAGATAAACTGGGGATTAAACTTGCAGCATATAAAGCAGAATATAGATGTTAGCTGACCTTGCTGTATGCAACTGGTTAGTGTATTCACACCCTGCTCTTCTTGGCACTTTTCTAAATGTTTTTTTCTTTCTTTCTCTATTAGCAAAATTGTTTATGAGCATCATAAATTACTTTATCAATGGGAAAAGGTGGAGATTTTTAATTCTGTGGAATTAGGTTAGCACATCCAAAGGTTTTGATCTTTGAACCCTAGAATAATCAGCACCTACACAACAGTAATTGCATAGTTAATTAACTTATTGAAGTGCTTTTGGTAGGAAGTAAGTTTGGAGTAAACTGTGATTTAACAGTGTAACTTTCCAATAAGTTGTTTTTTGGCATTGCTTGGATAACGTATATTTAAAACTAGATTAGTTGCAGAACTTTTGTTACCCCGTATGGCATTTTCTAGCCCTATTATTGCTTCTGATATCTTCATTTACCCATATTTATCTTTTGGAAGCTTAGCATTTGTTGACCATGAGCACATCTTTGAATTTTTTTAAACCATTATCCAGCCATAACTTTAGACCCAATTTTAAAATTATGCAATATAGAAATATTATAATGGTTTCTTTTGCATATGATCCCTTCACTGGTAGTTTTTATATACTGCCCTTTGTTCAGCCTTCATGATGTAGATGTTATAATCTGTAGTAATTAGCTGTAGGTTTTTTCCTACAGAAACTTATCAGCACAGAAAATGATGAAGTGTTTGGTATAAGGACCAGTGTAATCCAACATACTTAAGGTCCTGTTTCTGTTTTTCAAGGAGGAACTACGTTTGACTTCTCTGTTGCTTTAACACCTGAAGACAGATGGATCTATGCATCAAATATCTTTCTGCTTTTATGTTTTTATGATAGAAATTAGTCTGTTATGTCTGGGGCATTACAATGGTAAAGCCATGAAATGACATCAGAAGAATCTGGCAGTTTTTAGAGACATTGGATAGTTGAACAAAACCATTAAACAATTTAACATCTATTATTCTGATTACTGTAGATGGTAACTTAAAACTTAAAAACCTTATCTAATACTATTGCTACCTCCAAAATAAAATTCTTCAGTAAAAAGCAGAGAAAATTTGACATTATTTTGAAGACAAAAAGAGTAGGAACAGGAAACTTCTTTAGAACTGTCAGTGTTAAAACTAAAAAGGATTTGTTGTTCTTACTCACAAATTATAAAGAAGAAAAGTATGTATGTTCTTTAAAAAAATGCTTTGCAGATCAGCTTTTAAAGGAACATTGTCTGACTCTCCCAGTGAGAGGTTATAACCCTTTCTGCCTTTCCCTAGCACAATGCTTTGCGCTGATTTGTTTGCTAATAGCAGTTTACTGTTTGATAATATGTAAGCATAAAATTTTGACTCTTCATTTTTGCCTTTTTAGAGAAACATAAACTCTTCTCTTAGAGTGAAAATCCCAAACCTGATTAGGTTTGGGAAAATGACTATATTTCTTTAGGAAGAATGGGATAAGGAATTTAGAGAGAGCATGAAGTTTCTAATGTGTATGATGCACATTATATACCTCATCATAATAGAAAAGGTGCCCATGTGTTGGTGTCTGCATCTTGATGTATTATTTAAAATATTTTATGCATGTTATGCTGAAGGGCACTGCAGAGAACCATTTATAAATGTCTTAGGCATTAACAAATTGAAAGGAAGGATGGGATGCTCTTTCTGCTTCTGCTGGAATTAACCTCCTTTCTAAATATTCCTTAATTGCTTATCCTAGAAGTGAATAAGTCTGGTAATGATACTTCTGAGTAAGTTTTCTCTTTGCTAAATGATACATTATGATCCAGGTATTTAAATGGACTTAGAAATGTTTCATCTTCCACTTGAACCAAAGAATAATAACAGTACCGTATTGCTAGACCACTCAGCATACTTGCGTGCTGGTTCCTTCCTGCATAAAAGGCCCACCCCAACAAAAAGCAAAAAACTCTCCTTCCTCCGCCTCCAATCCAGGGAAGGCTAACTGAATGTGTTTTGCTCAGTGCCACCCCTTTTGATTACAGTTAAGAATACTTATGTTTTAAAGACATGTGGCTCTCCATTTTTTCATCCTTGTGTTTTGCACCCTAGTTTGGCCTAAGTTCTTTCTTTTAACAGAATCAAATAATTCATTTGATCTTTTTCTTATATGGAGAAGAATCAGTTCTGTAATTAATGCAACAAATTATGACTTAATGCTGGCAACTTAATTCATTTATAGACTCTTTCACTTTGAGGAAATAGGGTCAAAACTAAACAGCAAGAAAGGGTCGACGTGGGAAAGCTTAGAGGATCAGAGTTTCGGAGAGGAGGGCAGCACTTAAGATGGAATTATATTTACCATTCCTCTTTGTTCTCATTTAAAAGATGACACGCGATTCAGTTACTTAAGCTTTCAAAATCTGGAAGACACTTCTATTAAATAACCATATAGTACTTTGTTTATTGTGAATAGACATGTCATCTGTGATGCATGGAATAGGGAATTTATAAAACATCTGAACCCTTTCCCATAAAAAGCTTATATTTTACCATATTTTAAAAAAAAGTTTCTTCCTCAGGGTTTTTTTTTGCATCACACATGTAATGGGAGCTTTTCCTCAGTTCTAAGTGTAGAGAGAGTTATTCCAACTTTTAATTATGTTAATGGATAAGGACAAAATCTTTAAAATCAATTAATAAAATAAGTTATCTTAAAATTGAGTTTTGCTGCTGACAGGCCTTCAATTATATAAGGTAGTTAAGGCCTAAAATCAGGAAGTAAAGTACAAACAAAGTCTCTGAATCTTTGACTTATATGATCCCCCTCCCAGCACAAAGTCACTCACTTCATGAAAGTATTTTTACATGTATATAGTAATGCAAATACAATTGAACTAAAAATATTTGTTTCAGATGCACTTTTTTTTGTCATTGCGGAATGTGGTCATTCCTCTGAATTGTTGTGCAAAATTGAGTTGCTTAAAATTTGAATAGAAATGTAGCAGATGGTCATTGCTGACACATGAGCAAACATTCGTTCCTGCTTTTGCCGGCAGTACACCTTGGCTTAAGGTTCAAAGCAACTTAAATAATAAAAGTGATTAACGAAAATGTGGACCACTTGTGAACATAGTATACTTTTTGATTGCACCCCCTGTAGTAAGTTTGTTTTGAATTGGTAAATTTGATATAGAGTAACTAGGAAATGAATCAAACTATGAATGAATTAAAGCAAAGATATGAAAATACTAATATTTTTGAATTATAGTCATGACAATAATGCCTCTGTGAAAAAGAACCCCACAATTTAATTAGCTGAAATTAGCATATGCAGTTGAAAATGATTCTTATGATCCCATTTTATCAAAGGTATTTTAAAAAAAATGTCCCCAGAAATGAAGATTTGCTGTTCCTCTTTCAATAAGTAGTGTTGCCTTTTAATCTGTGCTGTTCCTGTTCTGCCCTTACAGTTTATGTTCTGCAGAAACATTACATTTTTACTTGGTAACAAGAGTCACCTTATAAGCTGTGTTATAAATATGGAACAGTAGTATTTATACAAGCCTTTTTCTTCAGTTTCCCTTGATGTAGTTGATTCAGTTAAATGGAAATGTCCATGTTTTGGTCCCAAGCTTGGTAACTCACAGTCATTTAATTTTGTTTAGGAATATATTGTCATCTATATCTTCCATTTCATTTCACCTCCTTGGCCCTTTAAGCTCTTCATGTGCCATTGGACCAGAGAAGAACCTCTTGTGTCCTCATGCCTTGAAAGGTACAAGTCTCCAAACACCTGGGGTTTTTTTGTAATTTTTTGTTGTCCCCTTTCCCTCCCCTCAGGATAATGCATTGCAGATAATGACATTGAAACCTTGTAACTTTTGAAGGAATTAATCTTGTATGGCATTTCTTTTGGTTCTGTAGGAAGTCCTTGGCTTGAAAAGGTGCCAGGACCAATCAAGTGGATTTGGCTTTATTGACTTAAAGAAATGTAATCTCCTTTAAAATTTAACAAAAAAGCAAACAAAGAAACAAACAAACCCTAGTGTTAACTAGTCAGCCTTTTTTAATCTCAGGTCTTCTGTCACTCCCAACTCCCTAGTCAGCTGTACTTTGTAGTTTTCTTTTGAAGTGCAAACTAAACATTTTAATCAGGTGTACAATCTGTGAGTAATACATTACTTGTCTTTACAGTAATTGTTCTCATTTTTGCTAAAATCCTTCATAGCCACCATGGTTTTGTTCTGGAAAGATCTTATTAGTTCCTTCTACTAAATCTAACATATCAAAGGTAATTTTGATTTTTCATCTTAACTATGTCTTAAGCAGTTGCATTGACTACTCTGCTGTAAAAACAAAGAAATGCTTTGGCAGTTAGAGTCCAGATAAAAATGACTTTGATTTATGTACATTGTTTCTGAGTAGTGAGGTTAGGCTTAGCTTTTAACTCAAATTGTCTGTCAAATTGTCTGGTTTTGCTTTGCTTATTAGTTTAGTATATTGCTGTATTCAGCACCAGATTAACATGATTTTACAATGCTGGTGATCATAGGTCCCTTTTCTACAAAAGTATTGTCATTAACCAAAATATTGACACCTCTAATTGCCAAGAAACCTAGGGAATATTTTGATAAGGCTGTATTGAAGTTTAAAATAATTGCATTTTATAAAGATATGTGAAATTTCAAATGAGAAAAAGTTAAATTGGAAGCTTTCTGCAACTTAAAGATGCTAAATGTGATGGTCTGTTTAGAGGAGGAGGATCTGTGATCTGCTTTTTTTACTAGTTCTTCTTTTATTGTTATTTTGCTATGGGAAATCTATTCTTTTACTTCTTTTATGAATTACTGTAAGTCACACCTATCTCTTGGGATATGTGGTACATAATTAATAGTATAAACATTGATCCTACAAAAAGCACTGAAGAAACATAAGCATCTTTCTACCTAAAATATCTATAATGTGGTTTGGCAAAGAATGGAGAGGCTCTATGTTTCATTATCTGCTTGAGAAATAGAATCTTCACATTTTTAAGATTGTCTAAGTATGTGTTGAACTTGTAATTAATGGAACCATTCATATACTATTTCATTGAATATGCTTTTCATTGCTTTAGCGTACATATCCTAAAATAAAAATATTGCAAAATACACTGACAGTTATTATAATGCTGTTCATTATCTTATTTTGCTTACATTCTTTTTATAAGCATATATGATATGCATATATATATATATAGTTATATTTTTAAGATCATATGACTAAACCTGTTATGAATGTACTAAAATTGTATTCCAAATGGCTAGTTTTACTTGTGGCAAATTTTAGGTGAATGTCTGGTGTATGTACAAAACAAAACTGAGTAAGAAATGTGAATCTGAATAACTGTTACCTCTTTGAGGCACAGCTTGTTTCAATTTAATATTTGACTTTTTTTATAGAGGAAGCTCTCATGTGAAGGGGACCCTGCATTATAAGGAAGAACAATGTGTTCCTTCATTAAATCTACACATGAAGAAAGTGCTGGACTTGCAAGCATCTATATCAAGGTATGATCAGTGATCATATTAAGAATTTTTCTCTATTACAGCTTGTTGTTAAAACAAAAAGGGAAGGGAAAAACTGAATTAAAAAAAACTTCTAGTAAGTCTTAGAAGGTAACATGTAAATTGTTATTTAGGAATTTGTACATGGGAAGCAGACACTTTCTTTCTGGGCTTGTTTATACTGGCATTTTTTGGTTTGTAGAGGTATATAATTAAACATTAGAAACATAGAATCATAATCTAGGTTAGAAGGGACCTCCAGAGGTCATCTAGTCCAATCCCCTGCTCAAAACAAGTCTAATTAGATCAGGTTGCTCAGGGCCTTGTCCACTCGAATCTTGAACGCCTCCAAGGACAGATTCCACAAGCACTCTGGGCAATGTGTTCCAGTATTTAACCACTCTCATGATAATTTTTTTTTCTGAATATCTAATTGGAATTTCCCATGTTCCAACATGTGTCTGTTGCCTCTTGTCCTACTGCTGTGCACCTCCAAGAAGAGTCTGGATCTGTCTTCTCTGTATCCTATGATCAGGCAACAATAAGGTCTCTCCTGAGCCTTCCCTTCTCCAGGGTGAACAAACCCAGTTCTCTCAGCCTCTCCTTGTACGTCAAGTGTACCAGCCTCCTGACCAGCTTAGTGGCCCTCCGCTGGACTTATTCCAGTATGTCAATGTTCTTCTTGTAATGGGAAGCCCAGAACTGGACATAATACTCCAGATGTGGCTTCACCAGAGGGGAAGCATCACCTCCCTCGACCTGCTGGATACTGATACTCCCTAAGTCCAACTCTCCCCCTTTAGATTGGAGACTTGAGATGTAACTGATCAAGATGTTTGTGATGTTTATTGATTAAGCAACACACCTTTAAGAAACTAATAATACTTTAATTGGCTAATAAACATACCACTGTTGTTAGTATTATTAATGCACAATTATATCACTGCAAGTAATACAGTTACAATTCTATTGCTTTTTATTAGTATTAGTATTGATACACGATTATATTACTATAAAGAAATCTCATAACTCACACACATGAGCACTATTAAGTTGCAATTCTATTGCCTTTCCTCCTGCACTTAGTATTAAGGTAAAAGTCTATCCCTCCTTACAAGTTTATCCCTTCTTACTCCACCCTCCCACACCAAGTCTTTCAGACATAGACCTAGTAGAGACTCTGACGGGTTATCCAAGGGGGTTCCCTTCAGTGTCCTGGGGGCTTGGGTCTGTAGGTCAGCTTCACCATCATCTGTAGGTGTCCACACTCCTGCTGTCAGAAGATCCTCCTCTTCTTTGTTTTCCACCTTATTTTATGCCTTATTCCCCATTTTTTTTCTTTTCCTGAACCCACCTTTTCACTATCCCTGCACCTCCTTTTCTGCACCCAAACTCCTCCCAAATAAACAACCTGCCCCTAATTACTTTTTCCTCATTGGTCCCATTTCTGTTACATTCGTACCCAAATTCAATGTTTCCAACACTGTTACCTAGGCATTTTCAGCCCAATATGATATTACTGACAGAGTTATCTAGATAAGGGTGGCCTTGCATCCCAAGACTCACTTCTGACCCTATAGTTCATGCTGGTTACATTTCATTTCCATTATATGCTTTTTGGACAGAATTATCTTACTTTAGCCTTGAATCCCCTACCTAATTCTAATTAAGCACAAGCAATTTCTCATCTTATGCCCAGACAGCTTGCATACCAGAGAAAAAATATAACTCATTTTTTGCTCACACTGTGTCTCTGCCCTTGATTAGTTTTCATCACACTCCTGGTTCCCATCAGAGGCCTTAGCTAGTTTTGAAGCCTAGTGTTCCAGCGGAACCTCTTGCTCTCGCCTGAACTCTTGCTAATACAGCCCAGGATGCTGGTGGCCTCCTTTGCTGCAAGGCCACACTGCTGTCACACGTTCAACTTGTTATCCACCAGGACCCCCAGGTCCTTTTCTGCAGAGCTTCTTCCTAGACAGTCAGCCCCCAGCCTGTGCTGTTCCATGGGGCTATTCCAGCCAAGATGAAAGACCTTGCACACGTTTTTGTTGAATATCATGAGGTTACAGTCAGCCCATTCCTCCAATCTGTCCAGGTCCCTCTAAATAGAAGTCCTGTATTAACAGTGTATTAACATGCCCCCCTGCCCCCCCCCCACCATCATCTGCAAACTTGCCGAGAGTGTACTCCATGTTTTATGAAGACATTAAACAGTAGTGGTCCCAGTAGTGATCCCTGAGAGACATCACTAGTTACTGGCCACCAGATAGACTTTGCACCACTGATCACAACTCTTTGAGCCCAGCAGCCCTGCCAATTTTACACCCACTTTATCGTCCACTTATCTAGCCCATATCTCACCAATTTGGTGATAAGGAGACTATGGGAAAGTATATCAAAGACCTTGCTAAAATCAAGGTATACAACATCCGCTGCCCTCCCCTTGTCCACAGCACCAGTGAGGTTGGTCAGGCATGATTTGCCTTTGGCAAATCCATGTTGGTTTTTCCCAATTACCTTCTTGTCCTTCATGTGCCTGGACATGGCTTCCGGGGGATTTTCTCCCTAACCTTCTCAGGGACTAAGGTGACGTTTACCGACCTGTAGTTCCTCGGTTCCTCCTTCTTGCCCTCCTTGAAGATGGGTGTGATGTTTGCATTTTTCCAGTCATCAGGCACCTCCTCCAATTGCCATGACCTTTCAAAGATGATAGAGAGCAGCCTCACAATGACATAGGCTTCACAAAATCACAGAATGGTTGAGGTTGGAAGGGACCTCTGGAGATCATCTAGTCCAACCTCCCTGCTCAAGCAGGGTCCTCTAGAGCATATTGCCCAGGATCACATCCAGACGGGTTTTGAATATCTCCAG